AGAAGGGAAAAATGTCACTGTGCAGTTTAAGGAATTAGTAATACTACTAACAGAGAACAAATTAATGAGAAATTTCAAAACATGTAAAACATCAAAGAGGGTAAGGCCGAGAGGGAGAGAAATGGTTCATTGACCAACTATGATAGTGCATGATCCATCAGCTAGTTTCACCTTGTCTCTTCCAGAAAGAAGGTGATAGGTTTGGAAGTATGAGGGCGTACCAGTCATGTGTTTTGACACTCCAGAATCAATGATCCAGGGAGTGTTAGGGTTATAAGAAGCAACATGGAAAGTTGTGGTCGATTTACCTGATGTAGACGCAAATGAAATTGAGGGAGGAGCATCCATCTGACAAATTGCTCTACCATAGAGCTCTAAATGGTCACGGAAGGAATTTATAATATCCTTCCTTGGGTCAGATCCAGATGAATGTGTCCGAGTCAGTATGAATGGGGGGTTGATTCTCCTGAGTAGCCATCTTCACCACTCATGATTTCAGATTCAAAAAACAACTCTTAATTGGGGTACAGAGAGCCTTAAAGAAATTCAACACTGAGGGGGAACGAAAAAAAAAATTCTTCAGAAACACACCTCCATTTGTAAAAACACAGGTGCTGTTACAGCACAAACAGGTCATCCCTTGACTTACAAGCTCAGCACAAGTGTTGCCACAGTGCATACAGGTCATCTCTTCACCTACGCATCAACAGGATTGCTGTTACAGTAATTACTGGTCACTTTCTGACCTTCAGTTCACCATAAAAGCTGTTGTTGCAGCACCCAAGAGGTACTGGTCACTTTCTGACCCTCAGTTCACCATAAAAGCTACTGTTGCAGCACACAAAAAGGCCCTCATGACTTATAGTTTCACAGGGATCAGTCGACCCCACAAAAAAGGAAAGAAAGAGGTGTTGATCACTTCACATCCAATCGGCAGACGTAGTACGACGTAGTACAGATTCTACCCTGACACACGACCAGAAAAAAAAAAAAGGTAAGAGAGAGAGAGAGAAAAAAGTTACTTCAGTGTGTGAGACCTTCAATCAGCCGAACAACAAATGAGGGTGGCAGATCTGGAAATCTAGTGCGAAGAAGAAAAAAAACTGTTCACTCGACTTCTCCTTTTAAATCTGAGAGCAAAAGATACTACTGGCGCCGCAACTTTTCTAATATATATACTAGGGCGACAACAACTAAAATAAAAAAGAGTAAAAGTACAATAGTACCCCTGCCGTACTATACATAGGAAAAATAACAAATGTTAACATGAATGATCAATCATTGGCTACATATAGCGGTCCTTCTGTCCTGTGAACTCTCATCTACTGTTATTTCTCCCCAGCTGAGAGGTAATATACTAATAGTAGTTTCTGTCTCACTAAGGGTTTTTAAAGATCTGTCAATCAGGTATTTTAATTCATAATGACTAAGCTTGGTCACCCTGGCTAAGAAATTTGCTTCAAACTCATTTTTGAGCGGGCTGAATGAATCTTGTAAACTATAGCTTCTGCATCTTGATTTCTTCGAACTACACATTTTGAGTGATGTAACTGTTTGCAGGCATTCATTTATGTATTACTAATTTCTTAATTGCTTGTTCCAGAACTACACACCAAGTGATTCTAACATTCCAATTGTATTTTCTTTTGGTTACTCAGAAGATACTACATGGTAAGTCGGAATAAAGATGATACAATTTGGAAGTTTACAATCATATGGTGTAGCCTGCTAGGTTGAGAAAAAAGCAAAAATCATCTAGATCTCCTTTCATGAACTTGTACAATCAAGTTCCAAAATTCCTGTATTTGTCTTTGTATATGGCATGTCAATTTTGGGGCATTGCAGATCATTCTGTTCTTAAGTAGTTCTTGATCTGATTCCAAATATTGTCTCATCCTGCTTTCTAGTTTCTATGAATGTAACTCTTCATTGGATTCTTAGGGCCCATTTGCTTTTTGGGTTTTGAGAGGGGGGAAATTGGTCAATCAGATTTTGGTTCCTATTGACCAAGATACTCATGTTCTTTTTCTAGATTTATGTAGGGTCCCTGAAAAAATTATTTTCCATGGGTATCACTCATTTCCTTGATGGGTAAATAAAATTCCCACCTGGGGGGAAGTTTCCAACACTTGGATGAGACAAATTTGCCCCTTTTAATAATGGATTTTTATGGCTAAAATGGTCATTGTCTTACTTACTATGGAAATAAAAGAACATGGATAAGTATTTCCTCCTTAGCTGATGAGTTAGTAAAGTCAGGGGCTCTAAGGGTGTTCATGTATAGTGAAAGTACTTTGCCTATGCAATGTTTTTTTTGAAATTTTTTGTGCCACTCTAGATCTCCTACCTAGAGACTTTTCCCACATCCCTACCCACAAGACACTACCACCGTGTATTGGGAACATCTCACCATGAATAATAACAGGGAGGCACCACACAACCCCATATATCTATATATATATATATATATTTCTCTATATTTATATTGTGTTTCAAATTACCTTTATCACTAGGTGAAATTGTATTACATAATATTCCTTCTATTTGAGCATTTAAATTATAAACATAGTTGTCAAGGCGACGATGCCTAGACGACAAGGTGCCCTTGGAGGCTCGCCTAGCCTAGTCGCCAAGCACTTTTGTATATTGTCTTATAAAATACTTTTATATTGTTATTTTTATAATTATAAAATAGACACTATTAAACAAAAATATTCATTTTTTTGTGTTTATAAACTAATTTCTTTTTATTATTTTCTTATTTGTTAGGGTTTAATCTATACAAACAGTGCTAATTGCTGTATTGAACCCTCAAAGACTTCAAAATCTAAACCAATAAAGGAAGAACTTTAAATTTTGTCTAATCAACACATTTCTTCTTCCACCTTTTCTTTTCTTCTTTTCCTATAACAAAAATAGGGGTTCAGCCCCCATGTTTTTTGAATTTTCTTTTCTTTTCCTTTTTTTTTCTCATAAATATGTTGATTTTTTAGACTTAACATGAAGTTTATAATTTTATTATGAAAATTATGGATAGTTATTAAGGAAAGATGGTTATGGAACCTAGGGAACTACCCTAGGATATGTGGTTTTTACTTAAAAAAAATCCATCGCCTATGCAACAAGGTGCCCCCTGTCACCTATCCTCACCTTGGTGCCTTGAAAACTACGGTTGTAAACCTATATAGCCAATCCCTGTAGAATTGGAACCGTCCTGAGAGCATAATCAACAATCTAAAATCTGGAGCAAATTCCAGTTATCAATGGAAGCATCATGCCATTTCAGGATGAAGCAAATGATTCTCTCTATTTTGAGTATATTTTGGATTCAAATTTAGCAACTTGTTTCTACATTGCATCCAGACATGCTGTTTCTGTCAATAATTGATATAAAGAATTAAAGAAACACTATGTACCACAAATCATCTGAAAAGACTGCTAGGAAGCGATCAGAGCAAATCTGTGAACGGGCTATCATTCATTCGTTTACTAGAAAGATTAGCATAATAAACATTTTTTGGCATCTTGCCTTGCAACTCCAAAAAAAAGAAAACATACTCTTCTTAGCTGGAAGAGTCAAACTTGATGCTGCAATGTTTTCACTGTTCAGTGAACTGCAAAATTTTGATCCTGAAGTTGCTATAAAACCAATAAAGGGAAAACAATATTTAAAAAATATGCATCAGTTAGCGTCCCCTAACAAGAAAGGCCACAGATGCCGCAGCAAAAACTGTTGTTGCAGAAGATAACCATGTCCAGAAGTTCCTCTTCTTATTTGCCTCAATCAGAGAGTTGTGCAGTAATTCCAGTTGTCGGTCCATGTCCTCCACCTTCTCCTCCCTCTTTCTGAATTCCCTCTTGATCGCTTCCAGCTCCTTAACAAATGGTTTAATTTCCTCTTCAATGTTCTCTGAATTACCAACAAAATCTCCCTTTCCATCCACCTCTTTACTTTGGGAGCCGCATACCATGGTTGCGGTGTCCTTTAACATGGATAAGGTTCTCCCACAAAACCCATCTGCAGATTTCACCTTCATGTGCAATTCCTTCAGACCTTGTTGAGATTCTGCCACTGTTCTTTCCATGAACGCTTTGTCCTCCATCAGCAGTTCAATGTGGCTTTCCTTTTCTTTCTTTTCCACAATCAGGCTATCCCTTTCCACGATTATCTGCTTGAGCTCTTCTTGGGTATCCTTCAAGTTCTTCTCTAATCCCACAATTTCAATCCTCAAGCTTGATGCCACATTTCTCTCCTGCCCAAGCTCCTTCATGGCATCATCCCTCTCAACAGTAATATGCTCCAAAGCATCTCTCTGACTGATAACCTCATGCTGGAGTTGGTTATTTTTTTCTGTGTGGTCGTCACATGACCTTTGTAGTTCGGATATAGTGGCCCTAAGCTCACCCGCCTCTTTGTGCAGTTCAGCAATCTCAATTTCCTGCTTAATCTTCACCTGCTCTATGTCAGCCTTCTCTTTAACA